AAAAAGAAAAAAAAAAAAATCCCATTTTTTTGTCACAGTAAAGGTCCCTGGTATAGGAAAAGCTTTTCCTGGTGCTCTGACCTAGAGTGATACAAATTGCATTTTAATTAAAAGGATCCTCTACAACTCTTCTGTCAAATAAAACCCTAAGGGTTGGGCTTGGGTGTTTTCAAGAACCCTCTCTGCCAACATTGGGGTTTTTTTGCTGCTTTCATACAAAGCCAGATGTCCAAGGAAATAAAAGATCCAGATGGAGCTGGGATTCAGTCAAAAGGTGTATCCAAGCACACATCTGACCTGAATATTCCTCACGACAAAAATAAATTGCTGTGGAAGGACAAGGTTTTAATTGACTGCAGAATAACAACTGCAACATTCAGGAGAGCTGAATCTCGAATAAGAGCTAAAGAGGAGCACAGGATAAAGGCTGACAGCAAGAAAAAGAAGAAAATAAATAAAAAGAAGAAAAAAATGAGAATGCCACCAAAAAAAATTGCATTAGATCAGTTTTGGGTCCATTAGGCCAGTGCTGTTTTGTTGTTGTTTTCTGTGTCAGTTTTCTGCCTGTTTATTTAAAACATTAAGAATATTTTAAAAGAGCTTTGCAGAGCCTTTTCTCCCTTTAATAAATAAAAGAGCCTTTAAAAATTTAGTGGTTCTTTCAAATGGAAGCTGCCTGTTCCTGTTGCTGCTGCCAGCAGCTCTGATTTCAGGTGACATGGACCCCTCAGAGTCATGGCATCAAAAATTCAGGGTGAGGTGGAGCCTCTGCCTTCTGTGATTGCCTGGAATCCTCCTGGCAGAGTGAATTCCTCCCTGGAAGAGTGAATGAGGTCACCCCACCCTGCCCAAAGCCACTCTCTTCCTGCCCTAAATCCTCTGCTTTCCTAGAGAGAGGAGAGAACCGAGTGCCAGATTTTCCTGGGCTTTTCTTGGCATCTTTCTCCTTGCTGTGGAGGATCCCCCTGGAGCTCCTGGAATGTGGGGACAGAGCCACAGCTCTGCCTCCCACCCTGCCCCTGCACTGACAGCAAAACTGCCACTTGCACAGGGTAAAATACAATTTTTGGTACCCTCTTCTTCACAAATCACCCCTGCAAAAATCTCCCTGAGCTCTGTTTTCATGTCAGAGGCTTTCCCCAAATTCAGAGCCTGGATCCCAGCTAGGCCTCATTGTCCACTCTGCACTGAATTAGTCTAAACAGCTTGGCTGTTTAGAGGTGAAATCCTCCAAAAGAGACTCAAACTGCTCCTTTAAACCTGGTTATGAAGATTTTAATGAATTGTACCTCATCCATCAGTGCCTACTGAGTCAGCCCCTCACATCCTTTTGGTACAGAAACCACTCCACTTGTTTTTTTTTGACTCTCTGCCTTGGATTTCTATCTCTGCTGAAGGAAAATCAGGATGGATGAGGAAAAATAACACATTTCACTGGATAATGAGCAGTAAAGGGACGGGGGAGTCGATGGGATGGGTGGAACATGGCTGGGTTGTCTCCACAGTGGCAAAGTGTGTGCACACAGGTTGGACAGGCAAAACAGAGCAGCAAGAGACAGGAAGAACATATTACCCCATGAAACTCCTAGAGAGAGATTCCAGCGAGGAGAAGACAAAGAAAGAGCAGAGTCAATGACAAACAGAAACATCAGAGAGACCCCCCCAGCCCCTGGCCCACTCCCACCAATTCCACAGGATAAACCAGCGGGGAAGGGAGGGCTCTGAAATCCCAAATTCCCTGCTGGATACGCCCTTCCACTGGGAAAAACACCTCCACAGCTCTCTTCTCTCCCACCTGGGGAGGGATCACCTCCATTATTTGATTTGTTCCAAGAGCATCCTGAAATTCTGGGCATCTCAGCCGCCTTTCCTCCGTTCCAAATCTTTCCAGGCCAAATCTTTGCTGCTTTCCCTCAGCTGTTCCTCCCAAGTACATTTTGCACCTGGGGCTGAGAGATTTTGGTGACAAGTTTCCACGGGTTTTTTTGTTTGCTTCCACTTCTCTAAGGACTCAAATGTGTCTGGGTGTTTGTGGCATGTTTATCTCCAGAAAAAGAAAGGGATTTCTCTTTGAAATGCTTTGCTAAATGGAAGACATTATTATTATTAATATTATCATCATCATCTTATTGTTCCCAGCATCACTCTGGGGGTGTTGCTTGACGTTTATTTTTTATTTTTCTAACCACAGAGCTGCTTCTAAAGAGCTGCAGGCAGAAAGAAAACCCATAGCTGCTTTTGAGAGCTGGATTTTATTGATCTTGTACCAGTGGCTGATACCATCTCAAAGGCTGAAATTAACACAGGCCGCTGCAATATTCCAGATGGGAGAGTTTCAGGGAGCTCTGATATTCCCAGGGTTTTTAGGGATGGGTTAATTCAGCAAGAAGTTGGTTCACATCACCTCCAGTGGACAGAGAGGAGGCCAAAAACATGAATTAAATCCCACCTCACACATGGCAGCTGGGGGTTCTTGCAAACCAAGTGGTGACAGGCACATTAAATCCCATTTTTAGTGACACTGAGGAGGGTGACAGGGCTGTAGGATTTGCTGGAAAAATCCAACTGAACAACAAAGAGTCTCCAGAAGCTCCTTTTTGGGGTTATCAACATTCAGCTGGCTCTGTGTGTCCATCTGGTTTAACCAAACCAGGAGCTGGGCCTAAGTCACAGAACCCTGTCAGCATTCAGAACTGGAACAGGGAAAGGTAATTTCCTAGGAATGACTGATTTTGCAGCTTTTGGGAGCCTGCAGGCATTCCCAGGATTGGATGCTGCCTCCTGGAACGGGGATGAGGAGAGGAGCTTACAGAAAGCAGCAAAATCACAGGAGAAATTCAGATTTTCCTGAGTCTCACAAATAAGCTTGTCTGACTTTAATCTGGGAGACAGTAACTAGGCAGGGTTTATGCAGTCCCTGGCTGCAAAACCCTGCTCAAAACTCACTCACAGTGGAAAATAAAAGCAGCTTGGGGCACTTATTATAAAGCACAGGCAGGGGATGTAGAAGTAATTTATTTAGAGGCTGATGAGGTGCTGTTAGATATTCACGAGCAACAGAAGAAAACCTGAGCACGAAAAGCCTCGGAAAGATTAAAAATTATTCATTTTAATCCGTAACTCGAGCAAGGAAAATCTCCCTCAAAAGAAAATCGTGTTCAAAGAGAAGATGTTTGAAAGGCAGAGCCTGAGGTTTGTTCCCGCAGCACAGAGATGCTCTGAAGGGCTCCCAAAATGCCCCTGCTCCCATCAGTCTTGGAAGTTTGAATTCCTGATGGAAAAGAGAAATTCTCGTGGAACCCCAGACTTTGGGTTAGGTTGTTTTTTGTGATTATTTTATTTCTCTACCTCTCTTCAATTCACAGGAGCTTTGTTAGGTTCTAATGTGGCTACGTGGCTTTTTTGAGTTAAATTTTTGATTAAGTCAAGTCTGGTTGTGAAAGATGTTCCACAGATACATTTCATGTGCAGGGAAATAAAACCCCACACTAGCCAAGCTTAAAAAGAAGCTTGGTTTTGAATATTAAATTTTAAGTTAGCAGGACATTCACCAAGATAATTTTGCTTAGGACAGAGCAGTCAGCTCCTCCAAAAATCTGATTTTTAATGAGAGACAAAATGTTTAAAGAGGGGAGGGCAGCATCCCTTTGAAATATGTTGAATATGATTTTCTCCAAGACCTAACTCATTTGGTGAAGAATCAGGCACAGCCCAGATTTCAATATCCCCAAAAATACACCTAAAATATCAATCCCATCCATCCAACTTGGGGCCCATTTAACTTAGAGGGTTTATTTGTATTCAGCATTTGTATTCAGCATAAAGCAAATCTAAATTACAAATCTCACAGCCACCATGTGACGGGAATTTTGACAGCTCAGAAAACGAAGAAATCGCTGAGGAACGTTTTACCAGAAAGGGCAACATTTTGAGCATTTTTTTTTGTGTGTGTGTGTGTGTGCAGAGTTGAGGGAGGAGCAGGGATTTTTGGCTCTGCTTAAAAAATTCCTGCCAGGTTAAAGCAGCCCAGCCACGCTCCGAGGCTCCCTGATAAAGGTGGATGCTTCTCTCATTAGCGAGTGAAACACTGCTAATTCTCATTAGCAAATGAAACAATTTCCTCTCCTCTAATCGTGGTGTCCACAAACCGATGAGTGAAGGGATGATGAACATTCCCCTAATTGCTCGGGGTTAATTTAGCAGAAGATGAAACTCTTTCCAGGTCTCTCCTGTTGTAAGGAAAGGATTTACAAACAACAAAAAAATCCGAGTGGAAAATTTCTTTCCGTTCTCCAGCTCCTGAAGGTTGGAAGGACCCACATTGCTCTTCCTCTGGTTGTTTCCCAGGAAAAAAAGGAGCAAATGAGAAGCTAATCTTAATTTTTAAAGAGTAATTTCTGCGTGTTTGTTGTTCAAAATCCTCCTTGATACGAAAGAAGAACCTGGGGAATTATTTTAAAGACAAATACAGAATTGGGTTTGAGGGAGGGAGCACTAAAAGGGAAACTCAGTGGAAATACAGAGAGAGGAGAGAAAAAGAGAGAAATAGCAAAGGTTTGTGACCCAGAAATATCCACAGCTCTGGAAATAAGGGTTTGCCAAGAGTTCACTGAGTTATCAGCTGATTTCTTTAATTGTTTGTACAAAATGAGAGCAATTCTCACCACCACTGACTGGAGACACCGAACTGCCACAAACTCTTACAGGGATTTCCTTAAAATAACTTGGCCAGAGAGTCACAAAAATCTTGTTTTTGTGTTTGAACGGGCAGTGAATGGGCTCAGCCTAAAGCCAGGAGCATTTTCACCAGATTCCAGGACACAATTTTAGTTGGGTTTGTTCTTTTCCTCCCATCCCACCCCCTAGGAGAGGGAAAAGGGCAGGAACTGAACATTTCAGTGAGAAATGGAGCCACAAACATTCCACATCCCTGTGCCAGGGTCCTGCCCCCTCTGTCAGCTATTCCCTGGGATTTGGGAGGAGAAGGAAAATGAACTTACGAGAAGGCAAAAGCCACCAAGGCCCCACTGACCACAATGAAGTCCAGGATATTCCACAGGTCACGGAAGTAGGAGCCGGGGTGGAGCAGCAGCCCCAAGTCAATCATCTGCAGAGAAAACCCAGGAAAAGGAAGAGTTTTATAAAACATGGCCCAAATCCACCCTGCCAAGGGCCAGGAGAAGGTTCTGGATCAAAGGACCCTGCGCTAATTGCTGAGATACTCGGCCGAGCTTCTCCTCTCTAACAGGCAGGGAAACTCTCCCAAAAATGAAGCTCCAATCAAAAAACCACGACCAAGAGCTGTAGAAACAAGAGCTCTCACCGCTCCCTAGGATTTTTTCCCACACATTAAAATTAATTAATATTAATCCTGGTTTTATTCTGCATCTCTTCTGCATCTTGCTCTGACAGGAAAACCCAACTCCTGCCTTACCCCAACACTGAATCCTGATTTTATGGAATTGTGCTCTCTGGGAAGTCACTGCCCCACAGTCCTGGCAAAACCTGTCACCCTACTGAGTAAAAAGATAAGTTCTCTGCTTTTTGAAACCCAGAATCAGCAATTATTAATATTCCTGCTCAGTGCCAAAGGAAAAGGGAAGGATCAGGAATTTCTCAGGGAGGTCTGGGCAGCTCCTGTTGTCTTCCCAGTTCTCATCCTCTCACACAGCCACAGCTCCCAAAGACTTCCTGATTTTCCTCCATAAAATATGAGATTGAAGCTGCTCCATCTGACTGTGGGAGCTGCTCCCAAGTTAAAGCTCTCCGTCCTTCCCACCTCTGCCCTGCACCAGCTTCTCACAAATAAATCTGAATCTTTCTGCTTGAAAAGTCCTTACCTTGATCACCATCTCAAAGGTGAAGACTCCTGTAAATATATAATCCAGGTATTTCAGAGCCTGAGTGGGAAAGGGAAATGTGTGTTAGGGAAGGCCACACACTGAAATAACCTGCACAGGAGCAAGGTTAAACATCCAATCCAGCTGGGATGGACAAAAATCATCTGCTGGGAGGGTTTCATTCAGGCACAAACCTGAATCATCTTAAAATTTATGATTTAAAGCAGCACTTCCCCGGTCTTTGTCAGGCTGCACCCAAGGCTGGCTCCAGTGCCCCTGCGTTTTTGGCAGGTTTAGCAAGGCAAAAGGGGAATTTCAAAGTGAAATGTTGGAACATCCTTTCCTAAGGGGTTTATCCAGCAGCCTGTCCCACTACACAGTGGGGTGTGAGCTCTGCAGCTCCTCCACACAACCCCTGATTTCCGAGCTCTCAAACTCAGGTGTGGCTGAAGCAGCAGAAAGGGGCAGGAATTTGAGCATTTTGAGAGCAAAACAAAGATAATTGGGGTGTGCTACCAAGGACAGCTCTAATTCTGCTTTGCCAGCACGGGGAGATGGGAACGCGCCATGGGTCGGCGAAAGGAGGAGAAAAACACCCAAATTCTGGGAATTTTGGGTGTCACTCACATCATTCCTGGGAGACTCAGCCTGGACAGGATCCTCTGCAGCCAGGGCGATGCTGCTGAGGGCGATGACGATCAGGATCACCATCTCAAAGTAGCGCAGGTTGACGATGTAGTGGAACAGGCGCCGGATCCTGCAGGGACAGGAGCACAGGGAGGGGCTGTGAGAGGGGGGAAACTGCCACAAACCCAGCAGGAGCAGCACCTTTGGCATTCCTGCTAAAAGAATGGGAAGGAAATATTAAAAACAGGCTTTAAATTGCAGTTTGCAGCAGATCTGTGGTGAGAGTTAAATAAGGGAGTTCAACGTCTCTGCACTGCTCTCTACCCCCTCTGCAAAGCAACAACATCCATTTATCTCTTTATCTATTTATCTCCCTATCTATTTATTTCTCTAGCTATTTATCTCCCTACCCATCTGTCAGAAGGGCACTGAGAGCTTTCAAGCATCCACACTCAATTCTACAAATTATGTTTATGGCACTCCCCCGTCCTTCTCCCTCTGAACTGCCAGGTTAACGCCCTGTGAGTTCAAAACAAGGTTTGAAATCCTTTTAATGTCAACTAATCCCTTTAAAATGTTGAGACTCTCAGCTGAATCTGCCTTTGTGGCTCTGACTGTTCCTCCCACCAATCTCTCTCTGCCTGCACTTCACTCCAACTCACACTTGACAGCACAAATACTTCACAGGAATAGATTTGATTACTTCCACCTAATCTTTTTATTCACAAATTATGTCCCAGGAAAGTGGTAAATGCTCCCATTTCCAAGCAATCCAAAACTCTTCACAAATTGAAGCCAATAATTCCTTCTGACCACAATTCCCAAATCCTTAACTGCACACAGAGCTCTGCATTTGCACCATATTTGTCAGCTGAATAAAGGACTTAGCCTGAGAATAATCAAATTATATATTTAACTCACCAACAACTTTGTTATCTGAGAATGTATTTCAGCTCCTCTATCCCATTCCCTCTAAGCAAATATCTGAACAGTGAGAATTAAAGTCTATTTTTCACATCTACTTACATCCTCCTTTTCTTTGGCTGGCTAATGGATTCAGAGTGGAAAAGAATACCAGAGAAACAAATCTGATAGACAATAACCTGGAGAAAAGTGCTTTTGTGGAGCCCTTAACTGTGGTTTTCCATCTGCCAGGAGGAGACGATCATCTCCGTGCTCCGAGAAGCCACAGAAGTGACAGGCAGCATTTCCAAAAGCGTTTGTAGCCATAATTCCTGCATCAAACTCAATTCATCAAAGCAATAACAAGCCCCTATTTTTAGCTCCTCATCATTCATAACCAGCAGTGAGATGTGGGAGCGTTTGTGAACCGCCAGTGGGGCTTGAGAAATCACAGCCCTGCGTGCTCTAAGAGGATGGTGGCACTTGGGGGGGAAAAAATGGGATTTATTTCTGCTTCCCTGAACTGTTTTCCCCTCTGGCAGCACCTGGGTCAGGGATCCTCAGCAGGGCTGGGAAGGGAGATGGCAGCACTGGAGTGGGGAAAAGCTGCTGAGCCCAGAAGGAGCTCCCTGGAGGCAGCCAGAACACCTGGGGGGATGCAGCTGGCTCTGCACCTTGCCCACAGGAGGAAAAACAAGCTGCTGACATCCTTGGGACTCTGGGCTTTGGCTTGTTTTTGCCCCTTGGCTTGCTTGTAACACGTTTTTATCCCCAGTGAATTTGCTTCTTTCAGCACAGGTTTTTTTTCTGGGGGCAAGTGTAAGCTGGAGGAAGCTGAAACAACAAAGCAACTGAAAGAACCCCCAGATCTTGGACTCTGAGGCTCAGGAGGTCCTAAATGGGATGAGAGGGGAAAGAAAAGAAGAAGGAAACAAGGAAATTTTGCTGCTTCTCAGCTCAGAGCCCCTGGGCTCAGCACGTCTCACTCCTCACCCAGCCATGCTGCCTCAGCAGATCTTTCCCAGCTCATTTTTGGTGGTCATTTCACAGCAAAAAGACCAAATATTAGGAAAAAACCCACTTCCTTATCCCTCCAGACAGAGGCCAAACCCCATAATCCAAATTTGGCTCCCCAGGTCATGGTTCCAATGCTGCCAGAGCTCCAGGAGCCAGCTGGGATGCCCGGGGTGGGATTGTTGGGGTGTCTGTCAGTGATCCTGGTGGGTCCAGCCCAGCTCAGGAGATTCTGGGATGCTGTTCAGGGTGTGGGATGCTTCCACCAGAGGGGCTTTTGGATGTCAGAGCTGAGAACTCAGAGCCTGTTTTGTTCCACGACTCCACAGATGTCACAGTCCTCAGCAGCAGGAGGAGAGCTCATCCTCCTCTTCAATCCAGCTGCCAAGGAAGGGCTCGAGTTCCCCTTTGGTTTCTGGGCAGAGAGAAATTCCCAGATGTACAAGTTTACCTGAGCCAGAGAGAAACCTCTGCTCCAAGGGGACCTCCAGAAGTTCCAGTCATCCTCCCTTAAAATGTTTAAAATAACTCACAGCCCTTCATGTCACAGCAATTCCATCCCCTCTCCCTGCTGCTCCTGCAGCCCTCCAGAAGAACAGATTCAGAATTTCCGGGCTTTGGAAATTTGGAAATTTGCTCCCCAGGAGGCAGGAGGAAATCCAAAAATCCCAGCAGATCCCACAGGCTGTACTCCCAGCCTTGGCAAATAAAAAATATCCAGGTTTCCCCAGAAGTTCAAAGTTTGCAGTGACACAAAGCCACTTTATGGAAAGAACAGGAATTCCAGCTGAGGAACCTGCAGGAATATTCTGGTATCCAAATTGCCCTCAACCTGCTATTCCTGATAAAATCTTTTCCCAGCAGTAGCTGTGCTCCTGTTTTTTGGGATCTACATCAGCAGGGTCTGCCCTAAAAAAAATTAAGCATTTTCTTTTCCCTGTTCTGATAATTTATCCCCAACAGAATAACAGTGTCTGGCCCACAGAAATAAGCTTTTATTTCATGTCCCAGTGTGTTTTCAGAGATGAAAATCCCACTCCTGTTATTGTAGCACCTGGAACCATGGTTGGTGTTTGAGGAACTTACGGGTTTGTGGGACTGAGGATGAACATGGAGCTGTAAGGCAGGATTGGTTTAGGCCCATTTTTCGTCAGGTCATCCACGTCTTTCTTCTCCTCTGATTTGCTTTCAAACTCCACGTTGTTCACTGGGAATTCAGGGAGAGCACAAAGGAGAGGGTTAAAAATGGAGCCTGGAACAGCTGGAAATGCAAAGAGTGCAGCTGGGAGAGCAAAGAGCCTTTGGGAGCGCTGATTAAACGGGATGAACAATCATTGCATCATTATCGCTCCGGAGTCAGGCAGCTCTGCCCCTCCACTGATCAGCCAGGAAATGAAACCATGAGCTGATTGATCCCAGAGCTGCCAAACTGGGGCTGGAAAACCCATCCCAAAGAGCAGGAATTCTTAGGGAGAGGGGTCAGCTTGAAAGAAAATGAAAAGTCTGAGCAGTCTCGTGGAGCAGGAGCACAACTGGCTCTGGAACACATAAAGAGCAGATTCATGGATGAGGTTTAATAATCTGGGGGCTGAACTCCCCAGAAATAGGAAAAGAGACCCGGAAAGGATTTCTTGGACCCCCCTGAGCTGTGCCTGCATCATGCACCTGGGTTTGGTCAGAGCTCTGTGTGAAAAGGTGTGCAGCTCCATCCTGCAGCAGGTTTTGGGATCTCCTCTGAGATTCTTCCCAAGCTCCCTCCCAAAGGTTGGAAATTCTCCCACTCTCATCCTGACTTCACTTGCAGGGTATTTATGGGATAATTTACTGAAGATAATCTCCTGTCTATGAACTGGGTAACATTTTATGCTGCAAATTCTCTTCTTGGACATAAATAAAGTAGAAAGGCTCTTCCATTAATTCTCTGGGCCTGAAGTCCAACAATCCCACCCTTTGGAATGTGTTCAGTGCAGGGCTGTTATTACTTTTTATTTTATTTTGCAAGAAAATGACATTTCATTGTGTTTGAGTGACATGTTCAATAAACTCCTTATTGCATCTCCAGTCAGATCCAAAGGAAATGGCCAGGAAAGGGAGAGGCTGATAAATTGTGATTGACAGGAACTCAGCATTGCAATATAGGAAAATTACCATTGAAAAGGGGGAAGAAGGGAGAAAGAAAGAAAGAAAACAAAAACAAAAAAAAAAAAAGAAAGGAAAGATAAATCTTGTGGCTGACAAAAAGCACAGAGTCCCTGCCAGATCTTGGCTGTGCCTCTCGGAAAGCAGAGTCCTGACAGCCTGAAGTTTAATGTGAACCTCTTGGATTTCACCCTGGGATTCTCCTCAGCTCCCCAGGCTGTTCCCACCCTGCCAGGGATCAGCCCCAGGGTGGTGGCAGCAGGCTGGGGGTGCCTGGGCACAAGGACCTTGGGACCATCTGTGCTGACAGAGCCAGAGAGCTCTGGAGGAGGACAGGGAGGGCGGATCTGCTCCAGCTGTGATGCAGAGGATTGTAAAAAGCTCTGGAATGTCACAGGATCCCAAAGCAGCAGGATCACACGTGGATGTTGCTTTCCCTGCTCCTCCACCTTTCCCTTCCACAAAGGGAGTGGCCTGGGGGAATCTCCAGGGAATGTTGGGTGTTCCAGAGCCACCAGGCAGCCAGGAACCCTGGCTGAGCTCCTGCAGTCCGTGTGGCAATTACAAATCCTCTCTCACCAAGTTCCCTGCCTGCCTCTCCCGAGGATGGAGAGCCCCCATCACCCCTTGGACATCTGGATTTCCTGGCAGTGGAAAAGCAGAGGACAAAGGCACTCACTTGGAATGACAGTGGTTTCCCCTGGAGGGGCAGTGATGGTGACAGGGATGTTCACAGTGGTGGTTTTGTCCAGGGGGGGCTGAATCATCCTCGTCACGTTCTTCTGGTTGTCGGCATCCTCGGGCTGCTCAGGCACCTTCTGCAGGTAAGTGCTGGGCAGGGTGTGCACAGGGACACTGCCAGGGCCACTGCCACTGCCACTGGCCTCCAGCTCACACTGGTTCTCCCTAGGAAAAAGCAGGATTTGTTCAATCCGGCCCGGGAAAAGTTCAGAGAGCACATCCCTGAGGCTGCACCTCGTGCTGGCTTTGTTTCCTCCACAGAAATCCTTTGCAGGACAAGATCTGGCAGCAAAATTTGGGATCTTTTCCTCTGAGACGTCCCAAGCCAAACCCCAATCCCAGCATTAGGAGGGGGCTGTGGCTCTGGACATCCTGGGGTCACTTCAATGATTCCATGAGCCACCCCCCAGAGCAGACACAAAATCCTGACATGCTGCTCCCTAAGGCTCTCCCATGCCTCATTTAAACCTGGTGATTCTCTTTTCCAGCTTGGAACCCTTCTGGAACGTGGCTGTCAGCAGCTAAATGGCTCCTGCTCTCCTCTGCAGCAGCAGCTCTGCTCCAGTGAGGAGGAAAGGGAGCCCGTGCACATGAGCACGCTGAACAGCAGGCACAGTGTTTGAAAATTCAGCTGAAAGGAAGATAATTTAGACAGGAAAATTATTATCTCAGTGCCACTCACGGCTCTCCACGGTGACATGAACTCTATTCTAAAGAATCCCAGTGCAATTTCTTTTCCATCAGACTAATAAAGCTGAAAAGGCAATCTATCCTTCTTTATTAACTACTCCAAATGCTTCACCAGGGCTGTTTTTCTCACTTGACTTACATAAGAATTAAAGCAAATGGGGGCTATCGTTGCTCTTAATGGAAGAGGCCACGTGCTGGAACAACTGGTGGTGCAGCTGAAGGCTCCCCATTAAAAATGAAAATCAAAGGGCTGTAAGCAAGGCTGGCTGAAATTTAAAAAATGTCCCTCAGGAGCTTTCTTCAGAAGCTGGGAAATTCTCTGCTCCACTTGGTGTCCTACAGGGTCTGTTGGTGTTTACAGCAAGGATATTTCCTGCCTTAAACCTCAGCTCTTTTACAAACCAAAATGGTCTTTGGGAGCCTCTGTCAGTGCTGGCCGAGGCAAAAGAGATCTGTGGGTTGTGGTGGGAGCTGGTGTGGGGACAGGGACAGCAGGGAGGGCCACAAGGGATTTTCTGGAACACATCTGGGGTTTTGTGACCCCTGAACTGACCCGGGCAGGGTCTGGCAGCACTCACTCACTTGGGCTGGTGATTCCGGTGCTCCTTCTCGCCAGCCTCCCCTTCCTTCTCCCCGCTCTCCTTCTCCACGGACTCGTAGGTGGACAGCGCCCTGTTCCTGAGCCGGTGCCTCCGGTGGGGCTCCTCTCCGTTCTCCCCCTTGGCCGAGGGTTCTCCATCCCTGTTCCCCGAGCGGGACCCTCCGCGGTGCCGGGAGCGCCGCTCGCCCCGGCCGCTGTTGGCGGTGCCATTGCCCTCCTTGCCCGGCCGGTCTGAGGAGTGCCGGTGGCTGCGGTGCCTGCGATGCTCCTTCTCAGCCCCTTCCTCCACCGAGCCCCGCCGGTGGTGCCTCTTCCCCCCTTCCTGCCCCCTGCTACGGTCGCTTTTCCCTTCCTTGCTGCCCCCTTCCACCTCCTTGCTGCGGCTGCGGTGCTGCCTGTGCCTCTCCTCCTTGTTGGCCGGCCCGGTTTCACCGCTCTCATCCTTGGTCACGTCTCCCTTCTCCTGCTCTCCCAGCTTCTCCTTCTCCCGATGCCGGTGGTGCTTCCGTGGCGCTTCTGCCCCATCAGCAGAGGTGGTTTTGGGGTGCTCCACCACCTCCTGGACATCCACGGGGCTCAGCTTGGTGATGTTGTTCCTGCCTTCGCTGCGGGGCTCCACCACCAGCGGCCGGTCCAGGTGCGTTTTCATGTCCGGTCGGATGTGCAGGGTGGTGGCGTAACGCACCCGCTCCTCGGGGTCCAGCTCGTTGTACAGGGCCTCGCAGCTGGCTCGGAAGTTGTGCATCCTGATCTGGCTCGTCCTCTGCTCCCAAACCGACTTGGATTTGGAGGAATTCTGCTGCTTGCTAAGGGCGGGAGAAAGGCGAGAAGTCAGCACCCGGCTTGGCGGCAATTCCCTAAATACCGACCGGAAAATAAAGAGGGAATTTTCAGCTGAGGTGGGGAATTAGAGGGTGGAACCAAAGGAGTAACAGGGATGGAGAGAGAACATGAGCAGGGAAAGCCAGCAGGATCATCCGTGTTAGTTTGCCCACACATTATGAGATCAGCCCTCTGGAAAGGAGTTATTCTGCGTTTCGGAAATGTGGAAGCCTCGGGAATAGTCTGAAGGATTAAAACGTCAGCACACAAAAATCACACACCCCAGCCAGAGCTTTGGAACAGCCCACAAAGCTTCCCAAAATTAGCAGCACTTTTTTCCCCACCTGGAAATAGCTGGATGAGGAAATTAGCGGTGAGCAAGAGAAGTTAGATCAGCAGGAGGAGCAGGGAAAATGAAACGTGTCCCTGAGGATCTGAGCCTGCCACCAGCCCCTTCCCCTTCCAGCCAGCCCCAGGGGTTGTTCTCCTGGGATTCAGGGCTGATCCTCAGCCCAGCTCTGGCACGAGCTGTGTCACTGCAGGAGGGGTTTTGCACTCGTGTTCCAGTTCCACCAAGAACATCAATCAGCTTTTAAACGATCTCTGAGCTGTTCCCACTGCCCATCACTCAGGGCTAAGCGAGAGGTGCTGCCAGGGAACTGCACCCCTGAGAACCTGCAGGATGCAGGCAGAGCACTCATCAACCCAGCCCGTTCTGCTCGGATCCCTGTGTTAAACATCCCAACCTGCAATTTCCCAGCACCTGGAAATGAGCTGCATCCCTAACGCTGACACAAGTCACGGAGGCGAGCGCCAAGAACTCCGGCACAAAGCCTCCCGCTGGCTCTGGGCACCAGCAGCTCCAGAGCAGGAGCTGCAGAGGCAATGACTGCACAGCCATTCCTCTTTCCACAGGGAAAACACTCCAGAAGTTTTTTTTAAAAAGGCAAATCAGGATATTTATGAAGCGCGGTAAAAACCCAGTCAGGAAAACGCGGCGCCTGTGAGCTCAGTTCTTACTGTGAATTGAGGGAACTGACAATGGTCAAATAAAGAGATTTTTAGGCTTCAGGCATTAGCTTGAGCCTGTGTGAAACCAAGTCACACAAGGGTGTGACACACACTGGCATGAGGAATCATAAGGAGGAATCCAAACAGTCCCTGGAGAGGGAAAACAACCTCTGCAGGTGTTGTTCGGATCCTTTTTGTTTTCTTGCAAGAAACAGTCAAGGGCTGTTGTTCCCAACTGTCCAACGCTGGTGATGTGTTGGTTTAATGACAATGAGAGTTGTACCTCTCAGACCTGTCTATAAAAGATCTGGAATAATAAAACTTGCTCTCTTGTGCAACCTAGAAGAGAGTCTGTGTTGTGCCTCTGAAGTTCCTGATACAGCACAGCAAATTCTCCCTCCAGAGCAGTGAGGAGCATCCCAAATCCTGTGATCCCAAGTCCTGTCATCCCAAAACCACCAGTCAGGAGCCAGAGCCAGGGCACAGGGGCTGCTGAGGGAATGGGGGAGAAGCACCCGAGCAGGATGGGCTCCATGGGGACAGCACTGGGAATTCCAGAGCCAGAGCAGCAGCAGGAAGTGGCAGCTGCTTGTCCAGCTGGATTTACCCAACCCCAGCTCTCTCTGAGTCCCCACAGACACTGAGCTGGGGGATTTGTGGCAGCTCCTCCTCCCCTGGCGCTCTCTGGGCACAGGGACAGCCTGGGAGCTGATTTATGGCACCCCTTAAAACAAAGCTTCAGCCCAGCTGCCTGCCCAGGAGGAGATGCAGAGCAGGGTTTAGAGATGGAAAAACATCAACGGGGCAAAAATGAATTCCTCTACTTCCCCCCTCATTTGGGGCAGTGAATTCTGCACAAATCGGGGCAGGCACAGCCCAGCTACAGCATGAGCAGTATCAGTTTTATCTAAACTGATCAAAAAGAGGATTTGTGATAACAAATATCTACACCACCAAAAAAAACCCCACAAAAAACCATAATGCCAACTCCTCATCTGAGCCCTGCTCACTGCTGGCTGCTTAAAACCCTCCTGAAGCTGTTAAGGAAATCGTCCTGGAAATCACTCCTGACCTGCTGACATCCTCCAAACACTGCTGGGAATTCATTGCTTTATTCCCTATCCCACTTTCAGGAATATTTGGAGGCTCTGCTCCATTCCCAGATCCTCCAGGCAGGAGGTACTGCTGGCACCAGCTGCACTGGTTTTCCTTGGATTAAAACACCAACAAACTCCTGCCTGTGGCTGGAAAGAAAACCCCGCAATTCCTGAAGAATCAAATAAAATTCATATTAATGAATCAATGACTAATATTGGTTTAAATAAAAACTACAACCACTGTGTGGTTTGTTTAAGAAAGATAAGTGTATTTTTAGTCAGATTCTAATCTTAGGGTGCTCCTTAATGATTCAAGATTTTGTTCCCATAACCTTTGAAATCGCTGCTGCACTTCATGGAAATCCTTAAAAATTTGCTGCAGTAAATAATGAATGAAAGCAGCCTATGGAAAGATAATAATTCAATGTTAAAAATAACCACACATTACAGGGTGGCTGTGAAATTCTGTGTTTCAGATAAAAGGGAATTTGTTGTTAAAATGCAACGAAACCTTTCCACTCAAATCCTATTTTCTGTTCACGAGCTCAGGGTTCATAAACTGCACATTTCCATTTTCCACTTGGGAAACACAATGGGATGTTTTACTTTGGGCTTGGTGTGCACAGAGCCCAATGTTTTATCTCTCTGTGAGCTGCTGAACTCAGCTCTGGTGTTTAAATAAATGTGTTTTCCCAGTGAACCTGGAGTGTTTCATCACCTTTTTTTATCCTTCTGAGCTCCATCTCATCCCTGAGCTCCCTTGGGAGAGGCTCCGAGCATTCCCACAGAGCTGGAGCATCACAGACATCAGAACCAAGGTGCAGAAAACACTTTCTCAAGTGTTGTTATCTCTGAGGGGAAGAATTATCTTGGTTTGAGGTAATTATTCTCCAAAATTATTCTTGAATTTGATTTTGGTTTTAGAAATGCCAATTTATAGATAATAAAGCACGTTATTTTTCTATATCATTACATGAAATTTAATAAGTTGACATATAAATTTTGTCTATTTTTATATATTTATAAACTGGATTATTTTGATATTGCAGCTTCACTTTAGAATTTGACTTAAGAACATGGAATTTGTCACATCCACGACTGGCAGCCGTGGATCCTAATAAAAATAAAGAGCAATACAAAGAAAACCTGAAGTTCCTGGTTTGGATTTCAGCACCCATTGCAATTTAAGGATTCATCTGAAAATTTCAACGCCCCACAACTCTTAGAACTATCAGAAAACTCCAGCACAATTATTCCCTTGGCTGTGTGTCATCACATATGAACTGTGAGCCACCACAACAGCTCAGTCCCATCACAGAAGTTAAACTCATACAAAGCAATGAATTATTTTAAATAAAACTTGTCCAAGTTGTGCCCAAGGAGCCCCAAAACACCCTGGGAAATACCAGGGAGGAAAAGCTGCTGGAAAACCTCCTCGGCTTCACAGTACCTGGGTCCCTGCCGTGGGGCCAGGACAATCCCCCAGGCTGGAATTGCACTTACTTGAGTCTCCAAAAGCATTAAAGAAGAAAGACAAGGTCACACAGGTCAAGGATAACGCAAAGGACGCGGGACGGGAGCTGGTGAGGAGTTTTTGGGGTTAGTCAGCAGCAGTCATGATGTTTTTACCAACCTGCTTGGTGTCAAAGCACACCCTGACTCACAGCACAGCCAGCAGGCTTGGATTGGGAGGAAGCACATGGGTGAGAGAGAGTTTTCCACTGTGTTTGCTCAACTCCAGCTCCAGAGGAGTTGCCAAGTGCCTCATTTGGACAAAATCTGTCGCTTTAAGCTCCAGCTCAAGAAGGTCAGAGAGCAAAGACATAACCAGCTTTTCAAGAGTTTTCCAATTTAGTCTCACTTGGACCCCGTTTCCAGAATTCTTTTGAAGTCCTCCTCCAGTTTTCCCTCCAAGAGAGCTCTCCTGGTTCTCCCACTGAACCCAGAGTGCAAACACTGGTGGAACATCAAAGCCAACAGCCCAGCACAGAATAAACACAGAGAACAGAAAGAAATACAAGTGAGAACAAGACAAACCATCAAACGAGGGGGGACAGGAGAAGAGAGGACAATAGAGGAGAAATGATGGGAAGGAATGAAGGGAGAAAAATGGAGGAAGGAAGAGGGAGGAAGGTCACAGTTGACGTATGAAACACAGGAGTTGCTCACAAATCACAAGCATCGAATGAAAATGACGCCTTCCAGTCCCTTCCCTGGATGTTGGTCTGGAGGCTTTCCACAAATGATGGGAACGATTTTTGGGGGAGAAAAACAAAAAACCACGGGGAGAGTGAAGGCACCAGGAGAAGGGGAAGGTTTCTAGAGGTCTAAATGAGAAATCCACTTAGTGAATATCGTAACAGAGAGCAACTCACGGTGAATTTACGCTGGAGACTGACGAGCTGCGAGATACAGTACCTCGAGTTTGCTTTACAAAACTGCACATGCAAAAAAACAAAACAAACAAAGAAAACAAAAAGTGAGAAAAGAAAAAGCCGAAAAAACAAACAAAAAAACCAAACAAAGAAACGAAACAAAAAAAAAAACCAAACCAAACTAGCAGAGAAACCATAAGAGACATCGGGAGGAGACTCGTACAGGCCGTGTCCTGTCGGATGCAGACGGGGAGGAGACCGGGCAAGCTCCAGGATTGTGGAAGCCATGGACACACCACCCTCTGGAGAACGGGGACACAACCAAAGAGTTCAAAACGGAACCAAAAGGGAGCCAAAAGGAAAAGGAGACCAAAAGGCACGCGGTGATCTCGGGGCTCCGGTGGTACTCACACCGCCAAAGTCCTGCGGGAGCCACCTCGGGGGAGCTCTGGCTGGAGCCACGTGGGGATTGTGCTGCAAATCCTCGTTTCCAACTGGAGCAGGATGCTAATTCCTGCTCTTGGCACCAGGGCAAGGGCTGGGCAGAGGAGCTTAGGCTCCAAAATCCACCTGAGCTGCAGCAGATGGTGCCAGGCGACTTCTCCTCGGTGTGTGCCTCAGAGCAGCTCTTTGGAGGCACCTGCCTCCCTCCTGGGACAGGGATTGGGATGGGCTCAGACTGCCCAGAAATGGGCACTGGGACTAAAACCAGCTCTGCTGCAGCAGGGCAGGGCCCTGGAAAACCGGGATTCTAAATATCCTGATCCATCCTGGCTCGAGGCATTAATTTTTTCCTAGCTCTAAATGATCATTTTTATCGATCTACAGCATTCCCAAAACCCTCCCCAAGACTGAAAATAAAATCCCTTCACCTCCTGATTTGCCTTTTCAGCTGCAGCATTTTTCCTCCTGCTTTCACAAGATTTTAAATCTGTTAACAATCAATTCTAGCCAATCAGAAGGCCCAGTGTAAAATCTAATGTTCTTTGGGTATTACAGAGGTAAGTTTTAAATGTACATTTATTAAAATTAATGGATTGTTCTAAACAGGAACATTGGCTCAGATAATGCATATAACAAAAATCCAGAGGTTAAGAAACCAGGAGTGAATATAAGAAGAATTATGGGAGGCATCATAAAAGTTTTGCTTGAAACAAATAATCTGCTGGGCAGCCAGGTGAAGTATTTTACTTAAACCTCAGGATTTTGGTGTTTGCTTGGTGTCAAATGAAATAGGAGCAGAGGCAGAGTGGGGGTGGCATGTCCTGCACGCTGGCCAAGGAAATGATTATTTCCAGGTTGCTCAAGCTGGGGACCTTTTTACTCTTTGGCAGCAAAATCCTGCAGAGAACAAGCCCCTAACTGCAGAAATTCCTCAGGCATAACCAAGAAATTCCTTTGGGAGAACTTGGGATGGAGGAGAGCGCACGGGGCTGCCCTGATTTACCTGGAGTCAGCACCGAGCCCGTGCAGTGCAAGATTTGGGGTTTAATTGTTGGAAGCAGATGAACATCCCCCAGTGGGAGGCTGGGATGAACCTCCCTGTGCCTCCCTGCCTCGTGTGGCAGGATGGAGGCCACGCTCTGTCCTTGTCACCTGTGCAGGGAATGTGACACAAGTCCTGCAGCGCTCCGGGGTCACCGCTCTGCTCCCGTGGCTGGAGCCGCCTTTTTGAAAGCGTCAATTTGCCTGGAAGAGCCGTGTGTGAAACCACAGAGCCAGCACAGCCTCCTTTTCCAGGGCAAAATGACAGCAGGAGTTGATTTTCACTGGATGCTACTTACCAGGAAGGAGGGACAGAGCCCAGAGAGTGACTTTGGGTGCGGCTGAGCGACACCGACGGTGAGGACAGAAAGGAAAAGCCACGGGAGGAATCAGAACCTCACACACTGACACACTCCAGGGGAGGGGGAGAGGGGAGAAATCACAACCAGCAGGAGAAAAAGAACACCTCTTCTAATCTACACCCCCCAGCACAGCACAGGGCACGGGCTGGGTGTTCAGGCTGTTCCTTGCTGGGTCCTGTTGGTTCTCCCAACAGAGAAATCAGCCACGCTACTCCCGAGACAGAAGGAAAACATGGAACCCCCGAGATGGAAAACCTGGAGAAACAGAGCAGTTCCCCCCAGACCTGTACAAAAGGGCCAGAGGAGTCAGGGTGAAGTGACTGAGGTGCCACCTTTGGTGGCTTCTCTGCCTTGCTCCCCCTGACAGGCGCTGTCCCCCATGGGACTGTGATTACAGCTCCCCTTCTGTGAACAGCCCCACGTGGGACCAGCAGAAAGCAGTCCTGGAGACAGAAGGAGGTCTTTGGAGGCTGGAAAGTTGTCCTGGGAAGCCCAAATAACTCTGGAACAGCAGTGGGCAATGTGACAAACTGTGTTTAGGTCCGGTGCCCATGTCCAGGAGCTGTCTCTGCCGCTGCCCACAGCGTTTCATCCACCACCCAAACTCTCCTCCCACCCAAAACTCACACCCGTGACTAAATGATTTCCTTGGATCTGGCTACAGTCTGTAATCCATTACCTCACGGAGTTTAAAAACCCCCAAACCTCGTAAATCACAGAGTACAAAAAGTTCCTCAGAGTGTGGCTACCTGCCAGGCTCCTACAAATTTGGGGGTGCTGAAAAATCGCTGTTGTAAGGTTTTTCCCCAAGAAAGGTGAGGAGAGGGAATGCTGTGGGTGCCAGGTGAGCCCCAGGCTGTGCCCAGTGGTGGCAGCCCCTTTTGTACGGGCCATTGGTGCAGCTCTGGCTGGGATAGGAAAGGCAAAGGAGGAACCCAAAAATGGGAATTCAGGCATCAGGCCAGGCAAAACCAGGAAAAACCCCCATGTTTGCTTTGGGGTCTTTGTGTGACCCACAGGGATGAGCCTGAGGGTTCTTCTTTCCACTGGCAGTGGCAGCAAAAAGTGCTTTGGATATCCAGTGCTTTGGAATTGTCCCCTTGGCCCCTCTCCTCCCTGGTCTGGCTGCCAAGGAAGCTGCACCAATGGTTTGCCCTAAAAACCCCTGGCTCTGTGAAGCCCTTGAGGTGCAGAGGCTGAGCAAACGACACAGAGGGGCTGAACAAACCCAGAACTCACCTCCAGAAACAACAAAGCAAGGAAAACGCTGAACAGAAAACAAACAAACAAACAAACAAACAAAAAAATAACAAAAAAATAAAAAAGAATGAAACAATGGGCTCGAATCAAAGACATCTCCTGTCAGCATTGCAAACAGAGACAGAACCAATGCTTTTCATCCTAAATAAATCCTTCAGGGTAGAGTTCACCAGGTGAAAAAGGAGCTGTGGTCAGACAAATCTGTTCAGCTGAATCCCTCTGACGCAGGAGGGAATTTCTGGGAGCTCCAAACCAAGTGCAGGATGTTGTGCAAGATAATCAATCCCTCCCCAGCACGGCAATGATGAGCCTGAGATCCCTGGGGTCCCTCAACCACAGCCCAATCCCCGGCTCCACCAGCATCCAGTTCCAGGTGGGAAGGTGAAGGTGCCTCCCTGAGCAGGTTGGAACACTGGATAACACCCAGTTCCTTGCATTTAGGAAATTATATTTGGTAACCAGCACAATAAATGGGGCTCAGAGCAGAAGAGGGGGGACAAGGGACAATTCCAAGGTGCTGGATGTGTAAATTTTATGGAGTTTGGTTAGGAGGGGTGGCTGGGGCAGGAGAACTGGTGATTGAATGATTCCCTTGGGTCTGGCTGCAACTGGAATCCATTACCTTGTGGAATTAAAAAAAAAAAACCAACAAACTTCATAAGCCAAAGAGTGAAAAAAATTCCTCTTCAGGCACAGCTCGCCCTGTACTGACATGGAAAAAATTCCAGAGGTGAAGGATCCAACACTGGGAAGAGCTGGAAGGAGGTTTAGGGAGAGCAGAACTGATGAGGGGAGGGAAGAAATCAGCACCTCAGCCCTGAGGCAGCACAACCAACGTGACTTTTTCACCAGGCTCAGCCCAGGGACAGCTTTGTCACCTCTGTGGGAGGTGGCTGAACACTGGGAGCACGAACATCGTGATTAAGAAAATGCAAGTCGTGGTGTTCTCTGCCACCAGCCTGTTTGGACTGACTCAGGCAGGGGAAATATCAATGATTTCAGAGCATCCATTCATGCCTGCTGTCAGAGAAATCCATTTTCACCTGGTGGCAAAATAACATTAAGCTATAAAACTAAAAAAAAAATAATCCTGAGGGGAAACTACAAATATAAATTGATTGGGTAGAGCCAACTTTGAGCTCAAGCCCAGTTTTCCAAGGCTGAATCCTACAGGGGTTGGACTGTCAGTTCTTTGTACCCCGAGTTTTACAGGCTACAGGTTTCTGTGATATTTCCAATTGCCAAAAATTCCATTTCTAACAATACCCAGCACTTTTGGCACGTGCAGCTCTGGATCTGATCTACCAGGACTTGCCATGGTCACGGCATCTTCTCCACCCTCAGAGCACCGTGGGGATTAAGAGCAGGAGAAATGAAGTTTTGGGGTGGATTTGGGTTCCAAAAGATCCCTACTCAGCCCTGCTGCACTGGAGAGAGAGATCCAAGGGGTGGGGGCTGGAAACCATCTCCTTATTCAGGATTTAGGGGCTGCAAACCACCTCCCTGTCCAGGATTTAGGGGCTTCCAAGCCCCTCTGCAGCTCCCTGAGGATGAACATTCCATCCCTCTGTGGATTTGATCCTTGTGGGTCTCTCCCAACTCAGAATATTCCAGGATTTATGTAAAAAACGAATTGCTTTGACATGGATTCATAAAATCCCAGGGATCAGCAGCAGCCACCAATCCATCCAGCCCCCTCTTCCCATCTCCCAAAACATCCAACTCCTCCCTTGCCTGCTCCTCCAGGGCATCATCCCTTTGGGCATCAACCTCTGGACCTAAATCCTGCTTTTTTTCCCCAAATCAAAGCCCCTTGAGCTTTGTGAGTGGCCGTGGGAGGCTGTGCAAAACAATCCTTCCCATTGTGCTCACGGGAATTTTCACACAATCGGAGCAGGGCAGACTCAGCTGGAGGCAAAATAAGCAAAAATCCACATTTTTGCCCTCACTTTGAGTTGTTGTCACAAAACTCTCTTTGTGGTTTTGAAAACCTGGTGAAAAATCATGGGAAAAGGTGATTTTAGGCAATTTCAAGCAAGGAAGTGAGTTGGGCTTTTTTCCTGCTGATTTCTAAGAAATCTTCCCATGCAAAACACTTTGATTAAAACAGAAGCAAATAAGCACCATCATCAACTTGCATTTTAAAATACCAGAACCAAGAAATTCATCAAAGAGCTGGAGCAATTATCCTCATTTGACTTCTTTTCAAGGCTGGCCAGAAAATAATTGTAAGGAAAAAATGGTATTTAAAACTATCAAACAGCCAGAGCATAAATAGGAGCTGATTACAGCAGTAATGACAAAATAAAATGGTAAGAAGAATAAAATAGACAAATTAATAATATTCTTTTCCTTCACATGTAACAAACCGGCTCCACTTGGCCTTTTGTCTTTGCTAAAGTGGATTAAAGTCCCAGTAAAAAGAGATTTCCACCAAAGGAATCCGGCTGCAGTTCAGGTTTTTTTCCCATAAAATTGAGCAGGAAATTTCTTTATTTTATGCTTGAGCTTCTCCAGCCCTTGGAGGTCCCCCCTGTAAAATGGGTCTGGAAAATATCAGCAGCTCCCAGTAAAATGCAGGACCAAACTTTTTGGTGCTGATGCCGAAATTCCAAAAGAGTTCAAGGAACCTTTTCCAGCAAATCCTTGTGAGGTGTCCCGGGACAGAATCATGGAATGGTTTGGGTTGGAAGGAGCTGAAATCCCATCCCAACCTCCACCCTCCACCATCCCAGCTCGCTCCAAGCCCATCCAAACTTGGATATTTCCAGGAACCTGGACAAATATTTCCACCTACAGCTCGTTTTTGAAGTTGGAGGAGAAGTTGGGCCCAAGGCAAAACTTTCCAAGGGTTTTGGTATCACTGAGCCTGTGCTTGTCCTCATCCATCTGAAAATTCCACAGGGATGTTCCTACCTCCAAAATGTTCATTTTGTTCCACCCAGCTCCTTCAAACAGCCAGGGAAGAGAATTGCAGCACATTTTTCAGCTACTTAAGAGGACACTTTTACACTTGAATTCTCAAAAATTAAAAAGTTATTAATAAAATAAATGATTAATTAAAATTAGTAGTTAAATTACAATAATTAATAAAAAAACTCTTATTTAAAAATAGTTATTTCTGTGCACACACCCCTCCCCTCATTAAAAACCCGAAGTGGGATGTTAACACTTCACCTGGTGAAATCTATCCTGGGACAGCTTTAAATTTTTAATTAAAAAATAGAATAGAATAGAATAGAATAGAATAGAATAGAATAGAATAGAATAGAATAGAATAGAATAGAATAGAATAGAATAGAATAGAATAAAAATAAAATAAAATAAAATAAAATAAAATAAAATAAAATAAAATAAAATAAAATAAAATAAAATAAAATAAAATAAAATAAAATAAAATAAAATAAAATAAAATAAAATAAAATAAAATTTTGCAATTTTTAAAATTATTCAAAGACGAGGCATTACAAAGAGAACCAAACTGGAGGAAATCCTTCATTAAACTCCTAATTAAGCACCTGGCACTGAAAGATTTGGCCAGAACTGGTGCAGGAGGGCTCCAGCTGGACACACCAGAAAAAAGGGAATTTTCTCCCAAGGAATCAAAGGGTGCTTGGGAAGCTCCAGCTGGACAGAGACACTGGAATAAAGGGAATTTTCTCCCAAGGAATCAAAGGTGCTTACGCAGCTATGGAGATGTTGGCTGCGGACATGGGGCTGACTTCGGCCACCTCCTTGGCCTTCTGCAGGGCCAGCTTCTGGTTGGTGGCTTCCTCCATCTCCTCCTCATCCTGTGGCACAAAAGCAAGAGGAATCAGGGAATAAATCATGGAACAACAGCAAGCAGAGCTCCCCAGAGCCCGGGGCTGCCACTGGATGCAGGAATTTTAATTTAGGTTGGATTTCCCTGCAAGGAGCCCCAGGTTTGGCCCAAGCTGAGGTGGGAAAGGCCAGGCTTGGTCGAGAGGGATTTTTACCCTCACAAAACCTTCTTGGCTCTCCTGTCAAGCTTTGTGGAGTGCCACAGGTCTGGCCCTGCTCCCCCAGGGCGATGCTGGAGGGGAATCGTGATTAAAATAACGAGAGCAGACAGATCTCCAGCTTTGGCCTAGGAAATTAGAGAGATTTATCCACTCTGAATTCCATCTGCATAAACAGCTCCTCGCTCTGCCTTTGGTGCTGTTTGCTTCAGCTGGGCTCATTTGGAAACTGCTTTCCTTTTCTCCTTCAGAAGGAAAATTAAAAAAAAAATAAAAAGATGGGAAATTGATTTAAAAAGTCATTACCATGTAAGTTTTTGGTTGTATTGTTGTTGTTTTTTTTTACCCCTTTGCAAATATTTGCAATTCTATAACCAGGCCTGAATAAAAGACCTGCTGAGCAATTATGCAAAGTCAATATTTCTCAGCTGCCAAATTCCAGTAAATTTATCAAAGCTTTGGGAGCTCGTTGCAAATCAAGGGTGTTGGGTTTAATCCTGGCCCACAGCTCAGCCCCAGGACCCTGCTGGGGTGGGAAAGCAGCAAAACACCCCTGGATTGGGATAAATTCACATTCATTGGGAAAGAAAAACCCATGGGGATGAGCAGAGAAAGGAATTAATTCCACATTTCCCATCCCAGGTTTGCAGGAGAGCAGGACTGGGGCAGACAGATGTTGTCACTCAGTTTGGGATATCCCAGATGTGTGTCCCCAAATCCTTCTGCCCCCCAGCTTTGCCCCCTGGGACTCAGCAACAACAATCCCAGAGTGGTTTCCACATAAATCCTTGTTTTCTACACAAATCCTTGTTTTCCCCACAAATCTTTCTTTTCCACAAGCAGCTCCTGTGAAGAAAATCAACTGTTCCCATCCCAATCCAGCAGAAATGTTATCCTCAGGACAAAAGTTTTCAAAGGAATAAGACCCCAATAAAAAAAAATAAAAATCTTTCAGGTTTTCCTTTCATCCTCCAGGTAAATTCAAGTTATTTCTTCCTCTGAGGGATCTCCAGCAGCCTGAAAACCAAAAGGCTGCTGATTTTCCTTTCTCTGCCCCTAAAGCACCAGGTGCAGGATTTAAAACCTCTTTTAAATCTGTGGTTTCTGCTCCATTCTCCCGGGTCCCTCTGTGATTCTGCTGGATTTGACATCCTGGAGGAGCAGCAAAACGCAGCTGCTCCTTGCTCAGAACCAGCTCAGTCCTCAGCAGATGCTGCCTTTATAATCTCCCTGTAGCTCCTTCCACGCAGATATTGCAGATGACTCCCAAAATTAATTCATTTTTGTACCTGATATTTCAAATTCCAGCTCCCACTGGAGCTCTGAACAGCCCCATTTCAGCAGGGGCAGGTGTAGATAAAGCACCATAAGGACATCCCTGGTTTATGTCCTTTTCTCTTTTCTAGAGCTCTAAATCTTAATTTAAATTGATTTCTCACCATTTTTGGCGCCACCCATCACGATGTGCATCATTAACACTGAATTTTCTTCAATACATTCAGCCACTTAAAGCCTTTTCCATAGGGGAGCAGAGGGAAGGGGATTTATGGATGTTCAGCTCTTGGTTTGGCCACTCCCTTCAGTCCAGAGTTCATGGCCATTCCTCAAGAATTTTATACAAATTTATATAAAATTCCCACATCCCTCAAACATGTTTTTATCCTGCTTTTTCAGGGAGGAGAAAACGCTTCCTGCTTGAAGATATTTAGGAAAATAAAGCCTCATTTGTGGTGGGTTTACACTCCAGTTTAATGAGGATGAAGCAGGAGCTGCTTGATGCCACCAGAGACGTTCTGGGTGATCAGCAGAGAGAACTGAAAAGCAAATTTTGGGGGCAATTGTAGATTCCACTCTGAGTAAGTGAACAGGGAAAAAACAAACTGTGGATACATTGAAAAAATCCTTAAGGTGTAAGAACCCAAAGGGATTCAGGAGATTTCTCAGGAATCACAAAAAATTGGGTTTGAGCAAGGCCAGAGCAGGAAGAGCAGCAGAGGGACCTGGAGCAGATTTTTTTTTATAGATTGAAAGCAAAGGTGATGATTATTTATTTTATTTTTTTTTCCCCAAGAAATGAACCATTCCTAAGCACTGGTGAGTTCTGTAACAGCCACAAGATGATCAAGCTGCAGTTAAATTTAGTCCCAGCCCTGAGAACTTCTCTTACGGGTCACAAAGCCCAGAAATGGTCAAAATGCCACATCAAGAAATCCAAATTAACATCCAGAAGTGGGGAAAGTTGAAATGTTCCAGTCCTGAGGAAGGAAAGTTTTCTGTCTTCCCTAAACAGAGACAATTTCAATTGCTCCTGGATCTCCCACATTAAATTCCAGCACTGATCTCAATTAATTTCACAGAATAAATGTCAGGAAAGTCTCCTGGGACCAAGTGACTCCTGAGCAACTTCCTCGTATCTCTGGGGTATTTTTGGGGCTTGAATGATCATATTTGCTCAGCAGGAAATCCCTCATTCTCCAGGTATGTGTCTAATCGAATTTTAGCTTTTTCCTCTTCTTTTGAAAGCCCCAGTGATTTGGGGGGAAGGATCATAAATAAAATTAAACTAAAAATAAAAATCAAAATCCCCAGGAGAGTCTCTAGAGAAGCTTTATGATTTTGGCAATGCTGCTGAATCCATCAATATTTAATTAGACTTTATAAACATCCCCAAAGTCAGGTTTCTAACCCTCCTTGTAAGCTGCTGAAATATTCACTAGAAAGCACTTAAAGGATTAAGAAAGAAGGAGGATGAGCTTCCTTTTATCCAAGAATTGTTGGGTCTCATCCCCCTCTTAGCACAAGCAAGGGATGCCCATAAATCTGGGAGGGTTTTTGCCTCCAGGCTGGAAATTTCTGTGAGCACAGGAACAGCTGAGCTGCTGAAAGGGGAAAAATTCCCATTTAAAAATAAAAATAAAATAAAATAATAAAAAAGGGAATAGTTCCAAAACAACAGAGAGCCATTAAATATAGCTCTGAGCTGTACTGGAACATTTATTGTTTATTATTATTGTTGTTATTATTATTATTATTATTATTATTATTATTATTATTATTATTATTATTATTATTGCTATTATTATTGCTATTATTATTGCTATTATTATTGCTATTATTATTGTTGCTATTATTATTGTTGCTATTATTATTGTTATTATTATATATCATACAATATATTATATATATTTATTAAATATTGTATTACATATCTTATATATTTCTATTATATTCTATTATGTTATATTATATTATATTATGTTATGTTATGTTATGTTATGTTATGTTATGTTATGTTATATTATATTATATCATATTATATTATATTATATTATATTATATTATATTATATTATATTATATTAATTATATTAATTATATTAATTATATTATATTATAATTTACTATTGAATAATTATATCGATTTTTCCCTAAAAACAAAACCCACCCTTGCCTGCTGCTGCCTCACTGGGCAGGGGTAAATAAATTAAATTTATAAAGTTATAAAACACAACCAGCCCAACGGGGACGCTGCTGCCTCTGTCCCCAGCAGGTCACTGCCCATGGCAGCAGCACAGGAATGGGTGAGAAAAGCTAAAAAGGTACAAAAAAACCCTAATCCTCCTCATAAATCCCCCTGAGCACACCAAAAAATGTGTAATAACCCAATCAAAACTGTGTAAAAACCCAAATACCAAGGGCAGCGCTCACAGTCCAACCCTGGGCCTGAGTTGTTCTCCCTGGGGAATGCTCCAAACATTCTCCAGAAGGGATTTTCCAACAGAAATCTGCGTCCTGGTCCTGCTCTCTGATCCAGTAAAGCCACAGCAGTGTCGTTCCCATCCCCTGCCAGGACCTGGTTATCTTTCCCCATTTCTCTTTCACCTGGGGAGAGGCAGGAATATCCCAACATCTCCCCAGGTGCTCACAACAGCCTCTGCAAATTGTTTTGCCTGGAGCTGATTGGAAAATTTTAATTCTTTAATCCATCAGCAACCTCGGTGAGGTAAAGGGCCAAAGGAGCAAAGGAAATACAAAATATTCCCTGCAAGCTGAAGGGGAATAAACATCTCTGCAGTGCAAAGTGGCCAGCAGAGGTGCAAAAGCAGCTGCACAACTCCTGAATTTGCTCCTGTCTGAGCTTCCAATCAGCCAAAAAAAAAACCTGTTCATTGCTTCTCCCCTGCTGTAAAAATCAGAAAATGAGAGCAACGCCCACCCTGGCAGAAACCAAACACAAAACATTCCCTGCAACCTGAAATAAAGAAACCTGAAGGGTTCAACCCTCACAGGGGAGAATTGCAGTGGAAATTGCTCCCCAGAGGGAGCAGGGACACCCCTGGGATCTCCCACCTACCTTGGTCAGCTCCTGGGCGTTGGCCAGGTTGTCCACGGCGATGGCCAGGAAGACGTTCAGGAGGGTGTCTGTGGGAGCAGCTGAGGGAAAATCTCTTCACACAGCACAGACAGCAAATCCTCCCCACTGCCCTCTCCCCCTCTCGGTCTTTTATGGATGATTTGCCACCATTCCCAGCGCTGGGTGCTGGGTGACACGTTTGTGTCTGGAGAAAGGGCAGAGGAGCAGTTTGGGACATCCAGGCACCACAGCCTTTGGTTTCCCACCCCTCCAGCCCAGAAATGAAGTTTTCACCCTCATTTTTCCTTCTTGTTTAAAGGGACACCCAGTGGAGCTGAGGGAAATCGGTCATTTTAAGGCATTATATTTAGATTTTTATATACACAGAGCTGCATCCTCCCTGCCTGGCAAGCCCTGCAGGGCACAGAGCCCCGGGGTTTCTCCAGGAACCACCATTTCTCCTGCTTTTTTCCCTTGGAAGATGATTCCTCAGGGACAGAGGGAGGTTTGGGATGTGATGCCCATCACCTGCTGCTCCCCCCATCCCAGCAGGACAGCGAGGAGAGGGTGAGAACACCTGGATACAGAACAGGAAAATCTGGGATCATCACCCCTCAAAGAGCCAGGCACTCCTGGGCTGTGCTGGGGGCTCGGGTTTTTCCTTCTGGGGTGCTTCCAAAAGGTTGGAAACACTTCCAAGGCTCCTATCTGGGAATAAATGGCAACAAAACTCCCTCCCACACCTGCTGGACGTGGCTCGTGGAACACAGGCAACCCCTGGAAATGGAATTAATTCATCAGATCAGCCTGGCCTGATTCATTTCCAAGCACAGTTTTGGGTTTATCTGCCACAAAAAAGGTCCCTCAGTCTTCTCTGCAGAGCTGGGGGATTCCCAAATTTCTCCCAAATTTCTCCTAAATTTCCCCCAAATTTCTCCCAGATTTCTCCCAGATTTCTCCCAAATTTCCCCCAAATTTCTCCCAAATTTCTCCCAAATTTCTCCCAAATTTCTCCCAAATTTCTCCCAAATTTCTCCCAGATTTCTCCCAAATTTCTCCCAGATTTCTCCCAGATTTCTCCCAGATTTCTCCCCAGCTCCAGGCTCTGGCTCAGGCTGTGTGAGCTGGGGCAGTGCCTGGAGCCAGGAATCATCTCCTGCCCAGGCCAGGGAAGGGCAGCACCCTCCAGGCAGTTCCTGCTTTGCTTTTCAGGCTCCTCTGAAGTTTTTCTTGGAGTTGTTTTTCCTTTTTTTTTATTGTCTCAACAGACTCCTCAATTTATCAATTAAGTGGATAACAGTGAACACAGGCATGGTGTAATTTCCTGGAAAATAGGCCAGATCCTGTTGTTACTTTAATCATAAAACTTTCATTAAACCACTTCTGGTTCCACACAGACTCGCTGGAAATGGAAACGTAACATGAGACACTTAAAAAACCAAGCTTTTCCTTGCCATGATCCACTGAAAAATTGACCAATTGATCAGTTGAAAAAGGGTTTCAAAGAACCAAAAATGGATTCCAAGGACAAGGGAGAGCTCCTGTCTGAATGAAAGGTGAGGGAGGGAATTCATGCCCTGCTCCTCAGAAGCACCGAGCAGCTCGGAGGTGAAAAGTCCCTCCCTCAGCTGTGCTGTCAAGCCTGATTATAGCTTAATCTCATTTCCAAATGCCAAGCCCCGAGGATTTGGAGCTCTCCCTCCCTCCCTGCTCTCCCCTGACCCAGTTTTCCAGAGCTGGGTGTTTCTGAAGGGGCCGTGCTGGCTGCAGTGAGATGTCTGAGCCTCGGGAATGGGATAAATCCCATGGAAACACCAGTGTGACAGGCACAGCTCCTCCCTGGCCCTGCTCCTCGTCCTGAGGAGAGAATTCCAGCAGAGCCAAAGGGCTGGGGCACTGCTGTGCCATCCGTGGGCACCAGAGGAACTCTGCCTTCAGCCCCAGTACTTCCCCCAGTTCACCCCTCCCTTTCTCCTACATCTCCAGCCCAAGAAAGACTCCCAGGAAAAGAGAAATGCTGGGGCTGGAACCACAGAGAAGGTCAGGAAATTTTCACAGGAGCTCCCGGGTGGAGCAGCAGCACTGGGAGTTCTCATCCCTCTTTGGGGTGTTCTCATCCCATTTTGGGGTATTCTCATCCCTCTTTGGGGTGTTCTCATCCCATTTTGGGGTGTTCTCATCCCATTTTGGGTGTTCTCATCCCATTTTGGGGTGTTCTCATCCCATTTTGGGGTACTCTCATCCCTGTTTGGGGTGTTCTTGTCCCACTTCGGGGTGCTCTCATCCCTCTTTGCAGGACAAAGCAGCCAGGGCTGCCTTGGCTCTGCCACAGTTCCTGAGCTTCCTATTTTAGGGATGCTCCCTCTGACTCCACACAGCTCGTGGCTGCAGCCACAGAATTACAGAATCAGTCAGGGAATCAATCCCACAATCACAGAATCAGTCAGGGAATCAATCCCACAATCACAGAATCAATCCCACAATCACAGAATCAGTCAGAGAATCAATCCCACAATCCCACAATCAATCCCACAATCACACAATCCCACAGTCACAGACACTGGGACAGGGACAGGGCCACCACAGCCCCCCTGCCCTCCTGGCTCTCCTCTTCACACCCATCAGGGAGCTGCTTTGTTTGTTTGTGTAGAAAACAGAAAATGGGAATTGTGTGTAATGTATAAAATGTAAAATAGAGCCTCCCTTCCCAAATCCCATCCCGGTGTCACTCTGTGTCCCTGGACCTCTGGGACACACCAGCTGACACCCTGGGACACTGGGGATGAAATCTCCCAGTCTGGTGTTACCCTCAAGGGATTTCCAGCTCTCAGAAGAACAAAACAGACACTTCATGTGCCAAGGCTTGGAACACTGAACACTCCCAGAATCTGAAACCCAGGATCCAGAATTAAAATGGAAGAGTTATGTGGAGATGAGATAATCTGGAGGATCTGGGACAGCTCAGCTGGTTAAGGTGCCCTAGGCAAAGGCACCAAAAGAATGGAGTCTCATCTCCACCATGATCTACTCACCTCCACCAAACCCATCTCAATCCTCCCCTGCCTGAAACCTAACTGCTTGTGAAGATATCCAAGCTCCTGCTCCGACCTGCCCTCAATTATTTCTCCCACAATCTAAATTAACTCTTAATAGAACATTTTCAAGGTGAAACACAACAATTAAACAGAAATCTCTTTGAATTAAATTAAAAATTCTTACATTGCCGCAAGAAACGACACCAAGTTGGACAATTCACCTTCAGTGAGCAAAGCCGTGACAATAAATTGGCTTTTAAAGGATGAGGCGGTGAGAATTTAGGGGAAACTGGGGGTTTCTAGCAGGGAAGGAATTTTGGGGACTTTGGAAGGGCTTTTGTGGGCAGGACTGTGCCAGCAGGGTGCCATGGGAGGATACAGTTACCGAACAGGGTGAGGACGATGAAGTAGATGGAGGAGAACATTCCCGAGTGGACGCCGCCCTGCGACTCTATCCCGTGGTACATCACAGCATTCCAGTCCTCCCCCGTCAGGATCTGCAGGGATGGACAGAGGGTCACAGACACAAACTGGGGCACTCTGACACCGACCCACAGACGTGGGCAGGGCTCTGCTGCCATCCTGCCACTCCTCATCTCCAGCTGGCACCACTCCGAGCCTTTCCAGAGGAAATCAGGGAGCAGGGCACGGGTCTAGCACAGAACTCTGCTTTCCAGAGGCTCTGTGCTCATGGATGCTGTCTGTGTGTGTATTTTGATTATTCACTCAGCTCACAGGGACTTCCTTGGGAGCCAGGATCTGGAGATCAAGGTGTGATGCTCCTCAGAGGGAATTTAGGCTCAGCCAGCTGCCAGGAGGACAAAAACACATCCTGGGCTGGAGATCAAGGTGTGATGCTCCTCAGAGGGAATTTAGGCTCATGCAGCTTCCAGGAAGACAAAAACACATCCTGGGTGTCCAGCGACCCAGCCAGGGCTGCTGGGATAAAAACAGGCTAAAGCAGAGGGCAGAAGAGTTTGTTTGAGAAGTTTCTTACGCAGAATCTCCAAAGGTACAGGGCTGGGCAGGGTGTCTGTAATTTTATTTAATTTAATTTTATTTATTCAGCACGTTGAATGCTGTCTCTGAGTGATGCTGAGGTTATGGAAAAAAAAGCTTGGAAAGGGATCCCAACCCCACAGTGAGGAAACATTGATCTGCAGTTTGCAGCTCAGGGAAGGAGTGGGATGGAAGGAGGGCAGAGATATCAAAAAGCCTCTGGGACACCACAGGTTTGATGGCTTTTGCTGGGTTTAATTCCTACCTCTGACAGCCCAGACAAATATCTTAAACCCATCCTTCACCCCATCACCCCACACTGCATTTATCTCGGGACTAACAGGAAATATTCCAGCTGAGAATTCCACAGGCAGCTCCGGTCCCAAAGCAAACCAAAACCAACATTCCCACTGCTCATATCCGGAGCTGCTCCTGCTTCCAGCTCCCTGCCAATACCTGAGCCCTTCCTTTGATGAGAACTAAAATCTTATGCAAATCTTAATTCTTAATCCCCCGTGATGGGCAATATCCTGTGAGGTGAGGATGGAACCTGCCTCACATCTGGGCACCGGCTCCTGCAGAGCTCGCAGGACTCCTTCTCCTCGAGATTCTTTTTCTGTCTTAATCCAGAAATTGCCATCACCCCCCTTCCCTTCCTTTTTATCTCCTTTTCATGTTCTGGCACTGAAATACGTCAGCCAGACCTTGCTGAGATCTGGGGAAATTTGGATGTGGGGAAAGCCCACATTGTGCAGGATGAGGCTGGGAATGCTGGATCTGAGGGTCACCTGCACCTGGAGCAGCTCCAACCCTCCTGAGTTGGGAAACACCAGAAAACATTCTTTTAAAAATAATTTTAAATAATTTTAAACCATTTAAAATTATTGTTTTTAAAAAGGACAGGTAGAAAACAGCTGCAAAATTCAGCTTTATATCCAAGCATTGCATCTGCCAGAGCTGCAGCTC